TTGGACATCATATTTCCCAAGGTATTTTTTCCTGCAGGCCTAAGTGAAAACCAGATGTCACACACGTCATCTGTGAGAGGGTATGAAGTATGCTTTTTTGTCACCGTGATAGTCGAGACCATAAAAAAATGCGGCGATATCTTCCCGAGTCCCGACATCTATATATATCCTGTTCTCACCCCTCAGCCAGGCTCTGATTTGAGTTTAATTAAACTCTCTGTGATGGGTTTGTTTAATTCACTGTCTATCATGTTGCGTTATTGAGTCACAGCACTTTGCTACACTAGGTTTGGCTACTGCGGGCACTTAAAAGTGTGTTTCTAGTTCGTCTATTGAAATATCTCACATAGTCTTATGTCATGCTAATGTAGAGAGGCACAAATCCTTGTCCTGAAACGGTTGCTTATAGCCAAACAAGTCAAAATGAAAAATACACAAGTATGCTAACATTTATTTGAATGCTCTACCAATGTGCTGCAAACATGTTGACCCATTGGACACACTTGACCTGCACTCTTGCATTGATGTGGCAGTAACAAACTCCAGAACTCAAGGGGGCGACAGAGTGACCTTCAAAAGTGTGTGCTATTAAACCACGTGTTATTATCCAGGTAGCTAACTATAAACTGCTTCTCTGCCAAGAGTTCATGCTGATTCCCACTTAGAGAAGTTCTAAGTGGGAACTTGCCGCAGTTCTGGAAATGTGTAAATATGCTGCACTACGAATTAGTTGTGAACGCAACATTATGTAAAAAAAAAGCTTGCATTGCAAGGCCTTGTAACATCATGTAGGATGAATGTTGCCCTTCAGCATGAAATATTGCTTGAGATTGCTTGTTTTTCAGCTTATTCTGGCCACAACCCTGCTAAAAACAGCTAAAACCAGCCTAAGCTAGTTGGCTGTTTTTTTTAACCATAGTTGGTTTAACAAGCTGGTTTTACAAGGGTTTTGACCACTACTTTAGCTGGTCAGGATGGGAGACCAGCTGACCAACTAGTTAAAACCAGCTGAGGACCAGATTGACCACCTTAAACCAGCTAAATCCTTTGTAAACCAGTAACCAGCATACATATTTTTAATCTGTAAATAAAATAAAGATTACTGGAGCACGTTTAAAAGGAAATACTATTTATTTTACTACTATTACTATAAAATACAATTTACAGTACTATACTGTTAATAGTATTTATTTATTTCCACTTAAAAATTTCACATTTATTTCACATTGTTGGTGTTTCTTTGTAATTGTTTTAAAATTTAAGATCAGTCTACAGGTGAAAAATTTTTTTTTACACCAACGTATTTTCAGTGTTGAGAGTTTTTATCTGTTTGAAAATGTCTGATTGACGTAAAATAGTGATGTTACGTACGACACTGAAGATTCGACGTGCGTATCGCTCATGCGACAGAATTTCTAGGGAAGCCCCGTATCGAGGCATGCATTGGTTTCCCAGAGTCATGTGATTGACGACAAATTAAGCCTCACTTTCTGTCCAATCACGTGCTCGTTTTGCTTTGCGAGTCGGAATGTTCGATCCCCCAGATCTTACTTTACGAGTAAATTTTAATTCGGACTTATTCAGTTACATTTTAGATACCCAGTCATAATATGAAGAATACAAATTATTTCAGGAAAATTTAATATTTGTCATATGCAATTCATATGTGTACATTATTCTTCTATTATTACATAATATTGATATTCGTACTGGTATTAAATCGCACAGTTTATTGAGTAAATTAATTTATCAGAGACAGAAATTCAACAAACACAAACACACTGTTAGGCTTTTATTTGTGCACGTAACTTGAATCGATCTATGGAATGCATGGTGGATGCTTCGTTATACTATTTTTTATTAACCACCAGATGAAAACAGTTTCGACACACTCGAAGCTTTGAAGCTTTTCCCGAAACAGTCAGAGGAAAGCCTCAGTGCTTCACGAGGCTTCATTTGCCCATCACTAATGTAAAACGACCATTTTAATGTGAAGCTTAGGCTAAATCCATCGCTTTAATAAAAATTAATTCAAATAATGGCAGTTGATAAACTAATGTAAAGAAAAATGAGGTACAAAGTGTGTACATTTGTGTTAGCAGTTTTTGTCCGAACAAAGTGGATGTCTAGTTTACTTTCTAATAAGTGACTCAAACTAAACACTGATTATCTTTAAACAATCGAATGTGATATGCTAAACTTTAGTAAACTGATTGAATATGTCTTTCTAAAAACACAATTTTGTACCAGTGGATTGCTAAAATCATGCACTGTGACTCGCATTCGAATCCAGGCGTTCCGATTGGATTTCGCGATTTTTGCAAGCGCTTGCCAGGTTTGTGTGCATCAGACGGTCAGCGAATGGACTGTGGGCGGTCCGTGGGCGAGACTAGAGCACAGATAACCTTCAATCACGCTAGCATGTGACAACGTTAAAGCACACTTCGGGTTTGAAGAGAATTACAGTCCCATAATGCCTGAGGGCTGAAATGAAGGTTGTGCATGCCAGTTAGCGTTCCTGTGTGGTTAAGGGTAACAGCTAAGCATGTGCCAAGGCATGGTGGTATACGACAGCAGTGGTCCGCGCGTGGGGGTGTGGCGTGGCACTCGGAGCGACGCGGCGTCAGATGGAGGAGCCGCTCTCCATTAGACGAGAGCTCCCCGGGGAACCGCCGCAGCTGACGAGCTGTAAGAAGTGTCTGCTAATTACGAAAGTCCAAATTCGAACCACTTTGAAGATGAGAGCGTCGTGCGCTAACCTTTTGTCATGGTCGAAACAGGGGGCCTTCTCTCGCTCTACACCCACCGACTCGTAAATCTACAGTCAGGAAGAGGTAACGGTCACGCAGAGTTCAGCCCGTGTTGTTTTTTCTTGCTCATGTATGTAATTTAATTTCGTATAATTGTATTATCCCATGCTCACTCAAATTACACACTACACACACTAAGGTACTGATAGACCGAAGGTCTGAGAGGAACACGCTAATGAGGTTGGGGAAAATATGCAGGTGGTCATTGCGCTAATGCATCGGGTTTATACAAGTGAAACTATGGAGCTTTTAGCTTTTATTTCCTCCTTATGTCAATAGATTAGAAGCAGCTGCATGTAATGAATGAGACTATAAAAAAAAAAGCCCTCATCAGTTAGTGCCTCACTCAGTAGGAATGCCGGTTTGAAATAATCCACATATTTCGACCTAAATCGAAGTTGACTGTGACTCGCCCCTGCGTAATTGTCCGAACGTTGCGTTTTTACAATGTCACCATATATCTGCACCATTAGAAATGAACAATCGGCTAGATTCAGCGAGCACGTGTTTTACACAGTTATCTGCGACCTCCCGGCTGATTAATCTTAAAGAAACAGAAGTGACCAGTTTTTACCCTCTGCATTAAGCACAGCAGTATGTAGAGGGAACCGAGCGTAACAAAACTTTTTTTTTTTTTTTCAGTGGTTCAGTGTTCCAATGTGTCCCATGAGGCCTCCAGCAAATCACATAGCTCAGTAAAATCAGCACGAAAACAGAAGTGACCAGTTTTTACCCTCTGCAGTATGTAGAGGGAACCGAGCGTAACAAAACTTTTTTTTTTTTCTTCAGTGGTTCAGTGTTCCAATGTGTCCCATGAGGCCTCCAGCAAATCACATAGCTCAGTAAAATCAGCACGAACCAGAGAAACTTCTGGAAATCTCATCAGCGAGGCGCACGACCGTCAATCAAATTCACAAATCGGAGGGGTTTGTGACCTTAGATTTGCGGGGAGTCACTCGGGGCTGATCGAATTAGCTATCGGTCTATCGAATGCAGGGATATTTTGGCATGTTTGAAAATCTTAATACTTTATTGCTCTTGAAAGGAACAAACCCCCTGAACCTCACAGATGTGTCATGCCTGATAGACGTAATACTCCAAAAGCTCTGTAATTTATTCCAGTGAAAACATACTGAAACCGCTGTGTGTTGTTTAAAACCAAAATGTGCGCAAAGACGGTGCATAACTCCTATATATGTCCCATTTGCGGTGACTGAATGATGTGCGGGTTGTGTTTTCCTCTCCACACACACACTCTCTCTCTCTCTCTCTCTCTCTCTCTCTCTCTCATGGGTTATTTTTTCTCCCATGGGTGCAGGAATGGAGTCCCAACAGCATGGTTCTCATAATTGTTCACAATCTAGCCTGAAATCATTTTAATCTGGGGCCACTTCGACACTCATATAACTAAACAAAACACACTCACACACTTAATGTACATCATTTAGATAAGTAGAGATAGATTGATTCATCTGTATGATTTTGATTATTGTGGTAAATATATCCATCTAACAGTGAACAGGATTGCCGTCTTTGATTTTAATTAAAAGCTATTTTTTGCAGGGATGTCAGACTTAGTTTGCTATGAATAATCTGATCTTTTGGTTTGCTTCATTAAATAATCAGAAAATAAAAGAATAAAATAACATTATAATATACTTAAATATTTAATATTAATTCATATATTGTATTTAATATCCATTTAATATGTAAATAACTGAAATATCTCAACATAATACATACAATTATTTTTATTTAATATACGTTTAACATTTAAATGACTGGAATATTTCAATAGAACTTTTTTGCACCATTAAATAATTGGAAAACAAATAAAATGATTGTATTTTTATAATATGATATATTTATATGTAATAAATATATACTATTACGTTACATTATAAATATTATATATTTAAGTTACAGGATAAAATTATTTCAGTTTTAAGTCTCTATTTCAAGTCTTTCTTAATTGTATATATGTAGCAGCAATACTCATATCACTCATACACTCACAGAAAAGGTCATACCGCATAAGTCAAAATCTTTTCGTCCTTCCTGTTTGCCTGAAATATAGTTTCACCTCTTAAATAAATAAATAAACAAACAAAATAATACAAATTAATTACCAAAGCCATAAACTCAATACTTCAATCCATTATGTGTAGAAGAAAAGGTCAGCGTTCCCCCGTGGATGTTACAGAATAACACACAAATAGGACTTAACATATAGATCCATAAACAAATTTGTCATTGGACCAAAGAGAAGTGTAAATGTGTGCTTGCACTTACTAATGCTTGGGTCACTCTGTCGAGGACTCACAGGACGGATCCATCCATGTCCATTTCCTGGAAACACTGTTAGATGAGTTAAAAAACACTCACAATAATGTCTGTATTAATGTACTGTATGTTTCCAAGCATTCAAGCTACGCACAGAAAATTCTGTAAGAAATGTGCTTAAATAAAGTAACCTGGTAAAGTAAGCCTTGTGAATGACCCCCTCTGGCCTGCTTTATCCTATACATCCCACATATCAAATCGCTCCACCACTCTTCCTTGCACTCCACGGAGGAGGAAATTCCCTGGAAAATGAGACACATCCTTTTGGCTGGAATATCCTGGATCAGTTTCATCCTCATCCGAATCTGATACTGAACTTCTGCAAACTCTCCCACCGTGTGTGTTCATAACCCCGTGCTCCACTGCAGGAAATAGGAAAAGGAGAATGAAGACATTTAACAACAATTGCGTAAAAATACATTTAGCATGTTTAAGTAAATACAATATTGCACATGCATGCACATGTCACATATGCATCACATACAACAGCGGTTTTACTCAGCACAGTATTAAAATTAAACAAAAATCTACTTCAAATTAAACAATGAAATGCATATTACAAATAACTGCATAAGTCCTTATATATATATATATATAAACTGAATTGCTAAATTAATAAAACAAAATTGAAGGGAGGTTAATTGAACTATTGAATATTTTTTTTTAAATGCCTACAATAATTATTCTCGACAAATATCAATTGTGATTAATATGTGTATTAATATGTCTTTACAAAACTAGAATTCCTAGAACTAGAGCTAATTTTAAGAAAATTATTTTAAAGGGGTCATATGACTGCTAAAAAAGAACATTATTTTGTGTATTTGGTGTAATGAAATGTGTTTATGTGGTTTAAGGTTAAAAAAACACATTATTTTCCACATACTGTACATTATTGTTTCTCCTCTATGCCCCGCCTTTCTGAAACGCATCAATTTTTACAAAGCTCATCGGTCTGAAAAGTGAGGTGCGCTCTGATTGGCCAGCTATCCAGTGCCTTGTGAGTTGCATCGTGCCGCATAAACATAAAATAATGTCTGCATTTGTGATTGGAGAAACGACAAACAACAAGCGCTACTCTACATTGCTCAAAACTCGCATTTGAATCATCAGTGACAAATCCTTTAAATATGAAAACGTACTTACAGTCTGTGAGTCAGCATTACTTGTAAGCAACATAGACTGTATAGGGTCAGCATACGTGCCGAAGGGGAAACAGGGGAACTGAATTCACCGGAACACCGGCATTGTAGGCTACTCTCCCAGTAAATAGTCCTCGTCCTCCGTAAAATGCGCTGCACACATCTGAATATTTGGTTTGAAGTGTTCTGGAAAAGTGTTGTAAATACAACTTAACCACTGATTTCTAGTCGTGTCCTCTTTTGGAAGACCAAGCAAAGTCGTTTCACTTTCACAACGAAACACACAGCGTCTCCACGACATGGCGGTGGCGGCAACAATACTACAGCGAGATTCAAAGTTACGCCTTCTTTCTTTGCGTGAACATTTGGGCGGCGTTATGCAAATCTTCCCACATCGTGACGTAGACATGTGGGGGGCGTGTTTGAAAGAGGCGTTTTAGGAGGGCGTGGACAAGTCTTAACTTTTATAAAGAATATATCTTTGGGTTTGAGACTTTAGTCTTTGCAACTTTAGGGATCTTATCTATTCACGAACAGCTTGTAACACTCCAAAGAAAAAGGAAAACTTGAAATCGCATCATATGACCCCTTTAAATGCATGGCTGTTATCAAGGAAAATAGTACATTTTATGGCCACTACACATCCTTTTTGTGCAAATAAATAATTATTACTAAAATAAATCAATTAATCAAAATTATTTAGAAATGTAACAAAAAAGATTAATAACAATAATAAATCAATTAATAAAAATATAAAAAGTAAATAGTAATAAAGTGATTATACATTCAATAATAATAATAATAATAATGTATTTGGCAGTTGAAGCATATTTCTGCATGGCTGAACAGTCAGCAAGAAACAAGTAGTTTTCCCATCAAACCTGACCCATTATCACCTTGTTTTATTATCATTATTAACCAGCGCAAACACAACAACATGCTGACTGCACATTTGAATCTTCATTTTCACTGTGAACCAACACCGACATGCGAAGAGTCTATAAAAATAATCAGAGTGTACGTGGAGGGTGAGAAGTCTGCTAATCAGAAGATGAGACCCCCATCCTCCCCCACCACCTCCCTCCCTTCATTTTCCATTCTAATTACTTTGTCTTCTGATAAAGGCATGGCTTTGGGATCATCAAAGGTCCTTGAAACAAAGAGCAATATATAGCAATTACTGAGCCTCTCATCTGCCGGGCTCAGATTAAAAAGCAGCACACAAGAACACTCCAAACTCTCGGCTCGTACGTTCAGAGCTGTCATAACATTGTGTCTGGAACCTTCTATGGAATTCTGCAGTCCTCCGAAGGCAATTAGGAGGAACAATTAGCTCGTAATTGCTTAAGACTCGCTATGCACATCTTAACTTGAATTCATGTCAAACTACTTTATATGGACGTGCAAATCTAAGCATTGTGTTGTTTTGAAGAGGTTTCGTTTGGGGTCATGATATAATGAGGGCTTTTGTTTAGTTTGTGTCAACTATACTATACTGGATACTTATGTTGGCCTTCAAATAACCAAATAAATAAATAAATAAAATAAATACAAATAAAAAACAAAAGCAACATAAAAGTAGTTTACACTATATTCTGAATATGATTTACGCTATAAGTCTTCTGAAGTCATGCAATACTGTGAACAACAAAGTGAAATGAAAGGTGTTATTCACTGTTAACCTTCCCTTCTGTCAAAACGCTCAAATGAAATGAAAATATCTTAAGCCATGTCATGCCATGTTTGATGGCAATGAAACTAAATACCATTAGTTTGAAACGATATGTGCAAATAAGAGCAAAACAGTTTTTTCCCGCTAAAATATAATGTTAAAGTCAACATAGAAAGACATTCCAAAATGGTGGAAATAGTGTTTTAAATAACTAGAGAGAAAACAACAACACAACAACATCATATACGTTGTTTTTGTTATGTAAGTCTTCTTAAGCCATGCAGTGGCTTTCTGTGAGCAACAAACATGTTCATAAAATTACAGAATTGTATTTTATTTTATTTTTGTTAGAATATTCCAATAAAGCCAACATGAAAAGACATTCACAACCCATTTTATTTCCATGTGATTTAAGAGTTCATGTTTGGAATAAAAATGGTTTAAAATGCTGTTGTTGTTGTTTTATTTAAATAAAAGGCACATGCGAACAATAACAGAATTGTATTTTATTTAAATTTTTATTTTTACTTATATGATTGCTTAAACTATTCTGTAAAGTCTACGTGAAAATATAAGCATTGTGTTGTTTTGAAGAGGTTTCGTTTGGGGTCATGATATAATATACAACAGGATATTCAACAAGAAAAACAAAACACATACAAGCAAGATAAAATTAGTTTCTCAGTATGTCCAGTCTTTTTAAGTCATGCAATAGTTTGCTGTGAACAACAGAATACAAATTTTAGTTGTTTTTCACTGTTAAACTTTCCATATTCTGTCAAAACTCTCAAATATTAATCATGTTTGGAATTGAAAAAAAATCATACAAAACATTATGCCATGTTTGATGACATTGATAATAAATGGCATTTCTTGCTTAAACTATTCTGTAAAGTCTACGTGAAAATATGTGCAACAGGATATTCAACAAGAAAAACAAAACACATACAAGCAAGATAAAATTAGTTTCTCAGTATTTCCAGTCTTTTTAAGTCATGCAATAGTTTGCTGTGAACAACAGAATACAAATTTTAGTTGTTTTTCACTGTTAAACTTTCCATATTCTGTCAAAACTCTCAAATATTAATCATGTTTGGAATTGAAAAAAATTCATACAAAACATTATGCCATGTTTGATGACATTGATAATAAATGGCATTTGTCTGAAACAAACAAACAAACAAAAAAAATATATATATGTATATGTATTTTATTTTAATTTTGTATTTTTTTTGTCAAAGTCAACTTGAAAAGACATTCACGACCTATTTTACTTCCAGAATGTGATTTCATATTTCAGATAACAGGGTATTCAATGAGAGAGAGTGAAAAAAACAACAACTATTGATTCTGTCCATCTGAAAGTTATTGGATTATCTGAAGTAGTCTCTAAGTTAAAAGATGTTATAACTTGTACATAATTTGTGCACAATAAGACCGGAAACATGCATTGACAAAGCAAACAGGGTCAATTATCTATGTCATGTTGACTTTAAGTGGTCAAATTAGTTTCATTAAAGGATGCTACATGCAATCACAGACAGAACTAATTGTGACACGTAGATCAAACCTGATAACAAGAGCTACACGTAATCTGTCACCTAAATGTCTGTAACCTGAGCACTGGTCTTATTAAGTCCTTATAGATGGAACCCAAGTGGTTAACATCTCTAATGAACAGGACTGTTCACAGCCCTGCCTGCACAGTGTGAACTTACATCGGAGTCATTAGCTGTTAAAAAGCTGATTATTGTGGAGGAAGTCTTTTCAAGGTTAAACACTGCAAGCTTCTGCTGTGAACACCCCTTAATTGCAATTATATTTGAAAATAGTTGAAACTATTTTACGCCCGCACTTAGTGTGAACGGTGAAAGTGTAAAACATGAAAAAAGCACCATGCCTGTCAGAATTCAGTAGCCTTATTAAACACTATTAAGCAGCACATTTGTGTGGTTTTTAGAATTTCTGTTCATGAACTATTTATAAAACCGTTTCACATAGTGAGTGACGATGACAAAAAAGTTGACAAAAAGTTGAGTAAATTCACCAAGAATCTTATCTTGCAGGCTAGTTTTGAATAAACTATTAAATATATGAGTCAGTATTATATAAAATATTGTGATACTGTAGCAATTAAGGCATCTGAATGTTAGTTTAAATACCTTGCAACTGACAACAGTTGATCATTTGATCATTATTTGGTGAATTACTGCTGCCATGATCTGCAAAAACAAAACGAACAGATTTGGAGAAATTTAGCATTGCATCACTTGCTCACCAATGAATCATCTGCAGTGAATGGGTGCCGTCAGAATGAGTGCCCAAACAGTTGATAAAAACATCACCATAATCCACAAGTAATCCACACCATTCCAGTCCATCATTTAACACCTCATGAAGCAAAACATATGTTTTTAAGAAACAAATCCATCATTGTCCATCGCAAATCCATCGCTTCTGGCCAAAATGTGGGTCTATAATCCATAATAACGTTTCCTCCAGTGATAAAGTCCATCTCCTGTTGCCCTCTCACATCAAAATTCACCCACTTATTTTTTTAGAACTGTTTTGGACTGTCTTCGCGTGTAAATGGTGCTTGATCTGTGCATATTTCTCTCCTGATTCAGACAAGATTACTTTATCACTGAAGGAAGCAATATTATGGATACAGCACTCATATTTTAGCCAGAAGCAACAGTTAGAACTTGAAACATCTTAATGATGATTTTTTTTTTACAAACATGCAGCTTTTCACTTCATAAGATGTTAATTGATGGACTTGAGTTGTGTGAATTAGTTGTGATGCTTTTATCAGCCGTTTGGACTCTCATTCTGACGGCACCCATTCACTGCAGAGGATCCATTGGTGAGCAGGTGATGTAATGCTAAGTTTCTCCAAACCTGTTCCAATGAAGAAACAAACTCATCTACATCTCGGATCACCTGAGGATGAGAAAATGTTCAGCAATTTTCCACTGAAGGAAGCAATATTATGGATACAGCACTCATATTTTAGCCAGAAGCAACAGTTAGAACTTGAAACATCTTAATGATGATTTTTTTTTTACAAACATGCAGCTTTTCACTTCATAAGATGTTAATTGATGGACTTGAGTTGTGTGAATTAGTTGTGATGCTTTTATCAGCCGTTTGGACTCTCATTCTGACGGCACCCATTCACTGCAGAGGATCCATTGGTGAGCAGGTGATGTAATGCTAAGTTTCTCCAAACCTGTTCCAATGAAGAAACAAACTCATCTACATCTCGGATCACCTGAGGATGAGAAAATGTTCAGCAATTTTCAGCATTTTTATTTTAGGGGGTGAACTGTTCCTTTAAATCAATGTCTTCCTTTCCAGTTCTTTATAACTATTTGTGAAATTGACTCCCAATTTGAGTGAAAATATTTTTACACCACTTTTATCAGTGTAGTCCCTGGTTAACCTGTTGGTTAGTAAATAAAACAGGATTTTGCGCTGCAATAGTTGGTGAAACACTGCAAACTCATTCACAGCAGTCTTTCCATCTGCCTGATCAGATCATGTGCGAATCTCGTGCACGTCGCTTCGCTTCTGTATGTGGTGAAAAATGAGAAAGTGGGAGGACAGGAAATGCATCACCAGTCAGAGTCACAACTCCCTCCGAATTCCTCACAGTTCCTCGCACAATTACGTGGCATGTGGAGCCGCTGCTTACACGCACACACTCCTCTGATGACAGCCCATCTACAGGGACATGTAGAATCAACGGCCATAAGACAGTAGGTTACAGTTCAGAAGAATTTGCAAGTTAAGTAGGCAGTGAGTGGGGAGGACATGCAGATGAACGGGAAGCCACATCATGCCGTTGTTAGCTTCGTATATAGGTTAATCATGTGACAAACGCATGGAGAACATTTACTTATCGGGCCTCCCCATTGGAAGAACCGCGGAGACATGCAAATCAACGCAAACTTAACTATGGCGGTGAAGCCATCTGTAGAGGGATTTTAACTCCCGTGAAAAAGGTTTACGTACATTATACGAAGCACAATATTACAGCTGCATATGTATTGTAGGATACCATATTCATATCATTAGCACAACAATACTAGAAGGCCCAAGATAATACAGTGAATTAAATTTAATTGAAATGCTATTAGTATACACTAAATAGAATAGCCTACGCTGACCTCAAAAAGTACTGGGAACATTGATAAGAAATGTTTCTTGTGAATCAAATCAAGATATTAGAATGATTTCTGAAAGATCATGTGACACTGAAACAGAGTTATTATAATTAACTGGAACTAAAAGCATACAAATATTAAGTTAACTGCCATAAGATATAAGAAAGCTAAACAATGTATTTTAAGCTTTTAATTAATTTCACTTATGCGAACCAATACTTCTTATGTATGCATGTATGTATGTATTTATGTATAAACGTATTTATTTATCGTCAACACTTAAACCAAATAAACTTATTTTTATTCAATGTTTTGCTTGACAAGTGAGCTAATTTTGTCTTGTTTTCTGTACAAATACCTGATGCTAATGACATGCAAAATACCAAATCACACATAAATGTTGTATATATATATATATATATATATATACAAAACATATATTACATATAGATAGATAGATAGATTACTGTATTTTGATCAGATAAATGCAGCCTTGGTGAGATTAAGAGACTTCTTAAAAAATAAAATAAAATTTGGACCCACTCAAACTTTTAAATGATGGTATGTGTCAAATATTACTTATTGCCTAGATAATGTTTAATATTTAAATCATAATAAAATATTTAACACAATTTAAATTGTTTTAATATATATTAAGATATTATGTTCTATATATAAATATATGTATTTATTGCTATCCTATTTACGATTAGATGTATTTTATGCACCATTGTCGGTGACCTGCGCCGCAGAGGATTAAAAGACTCAGGTATCTTGGTGGGCGCCTATGTGTTTGTGTGTGTGTTTTTGGCTTTGGAAGGCTCCTGGAATCCATCTGGCTGTTTGGGGTGGTTAATATCCAAGAAATAATCCATTTACAGCTTTAAATCTACCGCCTGAAGTGTTCACACACTCTCTTGTCCTCCTAAAGAGCCGCAGCCTCCGGTGAGAACCCAATAACAGCGGCCTGCACAGCCGACATGCGCTGGGGACACGCAACTTTTCAAATGTATATGCACGCTCACTAATCTGCCTCCATTCATTCTGATTTTGTAAGCCAGCAGCCGGGCTCTGAAAAGAGAGAGAGAGAAAGAACAGGCGGCGTATTGTGCACCGCACTGTATTTTCTCCAGGGTGCGCGTCTACCTTGACATCAGAACCCGATTGAGCAGAAAATATCTTCTAATATTCACAGTGGTGCTCCAATATATCAAAACACGGGCTGGTAAATATTTGCCACATGTTATTAGAGCACATAAACCACAGGGTATTTGGAGAGGTGAAAGGTCACGCCTAATGCCGTCCCTTGAGGGAGGAGTTTTTTATATAACCAAATGAAGCCACATCCAGGAATCCCCAACGGAGCAATGCAGGACATTGTAAATGGCCATATGCTAGTCTGTGTGGCTAAGGACAGTAAATATGTAAAGGAGATGGCTCATAAACCGTCATTATTAAACGAGTGACAAGGCTAATAGCGTATATGTGCGCGGAAGCCCTCCTCCACTGCGGATAGGCCTTAAAAAGATTAAAAAGCTCGGCGAAGGCAAATAGAGAGTTAGGTTATAACCTAACAAGGTGCAATTTTATCCCCACAGATCTCGCACGTATTTTTTAAGGCTATTTAAAGTCAAGAATAGCTTCTGTTTAAGCCCTCTTGATCTACTCGGAAAAGAAAGCTGAATATTTAATGCCAAACTAGCTTTGATAGGACTTTTTCTCGCTAATTAAAGCCACATTTCAGCCGGGCTCGGGGTAAGGTGCGTATACAGGAGCGGAGGGTGGAATATTGAACATTTTTGGTCAGCAGTTCTTCCCTTAAAAAACTGCCCATTAAATCAGACTTAGCCGTGCCCTCATCTATAGGGCTTTCGTTCGGGTTCGGATAGGTAAAGCTCGTTTATCTGTGCGCTCAAGGCGATAACGGGCCGAACGGGAAACGGGAACGGGCAGGGACGTTATTGTAGCTCATCTGTCAGAGATTCTGTTGGATTAATAATGGATGCCATGTTTAAGTAGGCATGTCGATAAGGAAAGAGACATCATTTATTTATTCAGATTGGGTGAAACCATCCAGCCTCTGAAACGGGGACGATTCCGCATTTTCAGCTCAGTCGAACTAATAATGCAGCAAATTCACTGTGGACTAATCTTTTAGAGCAATAATAATATTATCACCGGCTCTTGACAGATATTAAGTATTCCTGAATATTGTATGTCTGAAGCGAGGGGTAATGGATTCGCCTGGCCTGCCGTTACAGAAGCGTTAGGCGGGCCGCGTCTATCATGCACTACGTTGAAACTGTAACTTAAATATAATAATAATCATAAGACTTGCGTTCTAAATTAAAAATGCACTGGCATAAAAAGAGTACAGCAGAATTATAAAAGTAATATGCTGTGATTGAACGTCAGATACTTACATGTTATTAATTAAAACTTCATAATTTTCACAGCAACAACAAATTTAACAGGATGGAAGTGACAGAGTTTACAACCATCCAGAGTTTAAACCATCTTTTTAAATTCAGACATTTTCTTGTTGACTTGTGCAATTGTATCCAACCAGATGCAATGCTTTTTTGAGTGAGACAAATGACTTAATACCACAAAACATCACATAGTTCATGCATATCATGGATAATACTTACTGTGCAGGTGTTTTCCCTCCAAAGTAATGTCACTTCCTGGATGATGATTATTTCATTAAGGAAGGGACTTTTGTTATTTTACAAAATACTAACAGGATGGAAAGTGACACTTTCCCTCTCTAAACAGGTTTTATTTTGTATGTTTTATTTAAAATATTAAAGCTAGACACAGGGGAAAAAAAGGAGGAAAACCTTAAATATAATGATGAAATGAAATTGAAAGAAAATAAATAAATAAATAAAAATAAAATGAAAAAAAATGTCATCCACTCAAACCAAAGAATTTAAAATTCTCCTCTGTATTCACTTTATTGAGATAGTGTGATGAAATAAAACTTAATAATAACATATTTTTAATATATTTTTTTTTAAAACAGATATGACGAGGACATAAAAACGTAATGCATCCTAGAAAATAGCAGAAAGCAGTTTATCTTCGTGCTTCAAATAATATTTGTCTTCACTCATTATGATTTACCCATATTGCCATTATTTGATTAAAATTTCTTAAAAATGAATCATCTAAATGAAGATAAAAACAGCACTCGTCGGGCCACATATCACAATGCTGATATTTATTGATATTCATTGTTTTTTTTAGCATGCTTACATATGTATGCGTTGTTATTGTGGCCCACTGACATTCCCAAATGGGAATTAAAAGCAACTGCCCTCAGGACAAATGTTACTATTCATCCATGAATCTCAGGACCTTTTATTACATGGGGGTCTGATATCTAAAATGAGCCAATTACAAAGTCGTCCCAGACTGTTAAACATGCAGACGCTAAGCGTTGAGCTCCACTGAGTGTTTGGATGTTCTCTCATTGTTTCAAGTGAAGCAATCAAAATTCTGCTTGATTTTTTTGTGTGTTCTTTTGTGGGGTCAAATCAATCTAAAGTACACGTGTGTATCATTAAAGGAAAACGGACTACTAACGCGCTTGTTCTGGATAAGTTCAGACAACTGTAAGCCACTGCTGTGATATTGTCCTGCTTTGTATGTGCGTTCATTATCAGTTAATGAGGTTCAGAAGGAATTAAAAGAACGAATCCTTCCTCACCTCACAGGTGTTATCGAAATTAATGAGTTTACATCCGTTCTATTGAAAGTTTCACACATTTAGATAGGCCGCATGAAATTACTTGATGAGACATTTTCTCTGCTGTGTTTACATATTTCCTATTGAAACAGGAAATTGTGGTGGAACATATGGAAGAACTCATACCTTTTTGTTAAATAGCCTTTCCGCAACAGCCCTGAAGCATGATTTGCTACTTGCTATTGCTAGTCAGAGGCAGGTTTGGCTGGTTAGCATTGTCCATTAGCCCCTGCTGGTGAATGCTGTAACTACACCATCTGGCTAAAAAAAATTAATAAATAAACAATTATAACAATTCAATAAAAAATAGCTGCTCATTCTGACATAATACAATATACACAGCAAATATGTATGATTTTATATAACACTTTCATATCTCAAACAATTTACAGTACCATGGCACTGATGGTTACCCAGCATGCTTTGTATAAGGATAATTTACCTTTAAAGACAAATTCACAGTTATTTTTGAGATCGTTAATTGATGCCTTTTATTGAAGTCATCTGTTTGCATTATTAAAACTTATTTTTAAAATAATCATGTTTAACAGCTAAATTTGTGGTGAAAAACTACATTACCCATGATGCTGTATAGAAAATGAACGGCCAAGGCCCGCCCAAGAGGCCATAAGACTGACAGGTAAAGCAACCAATCACATTTCGTTTTGTGCCGCGTCATGTTTATGGGTGTGGAAATGTCGCCACAATAACAGATTGGTGAGTAAAACTACTGGACGTATTTTAAAGATTCCATGCCAAAAACTTTAAATTTTTGACATACTTTTGAAAATCCAAGCATTTAATTGATCCTGATAAGCACTCATCGTCACAGCTGTAAACATGACAGATTTCTTCTTCCATGAGCGGGTTTAGCATTGCGCCATCTTTGTTTCCAGGCGAATCTTGGCTTTTATCTTTGTTGGCTTCTAATCTTCTTAATTTGGACTAACAAGCTCTCCGAACCCCAACCTGTAAGTACGATTGATACGTTATGTGTACATTTTCAACTGAGTGCTCAAAATATCAAGTTTTTGTGCTAATATGTGATGTACACCTAGTGCAGCTTTAGGTTTCCAGGTAAAGCACGATATTACTTACTGAAGTAGTTCTGATAAATCGCTGTGAACCCATTATTTCCTAAGAATGTGTCGATTAATGTAGACTAACGTTGTTCTAATTACTTCGTTTAATAATAAAGACTGTGTAGCACACAGACTTTATCATTGTGAAATTAGTTTTTATTTTGCTGCACCGGCAGTTATTATAGGGTTAATGCGGGAGAGACGAGCGAGCTACTGTGAGTTCACACCGCCGCCGTCGAGAGCGTCAAAAATCTGAAAAAGTCAGAAGAGAACTGGGACTATTATACTATTATTTATTATATCATTAGATTGTTATTCCTATAACATTAATGCACATCAGCAACTCACCAGGAACACCAATACCTTGGTCCACGCATCATTTTTAAAATAATGTATGTCCCCGTAAGCAAACAGGGACACGTCATAGATTGTTGGGAAACCCGCCACAGCAATAATCAACCTCTCCTCCATTTTGCTTGGGAACTAATGTGGTCGGAACCAAAGTTTACAGGACTGCGTTCTCTGGAATCCTCGCAAGCGGTGGACTTCTACGTTACGATTGGTTGCCGCCGAACCGCGTCATCGCTCATTACCATAAACTTGACCTGATTTCAACTCTCCTCGACGCCCTCAATGTCCAAGTCGTGCTGCGCCGCTGCTTGACGCCGGCTCACATTGAAAATGAATGACTTCCGGCCACTTTGACGCTCTCGACGGCGGTGGTGTGAACACACGGTTAGTTAGGCTGGTGCGCCTGTTATACAGCTGTTCTGCGTTCTGATTAAAAGTTAAGACAGAGTGTCTTTTGTCTGTCGTTCTTCAAACATTACAGTAGACATATTTTGGTTTACAAACTGTATTGTTTCATCAGTTAGTCACGTTAGCACTCGGCTAACGTATCCACCATGTTTTAAGTGTTCACAGTTTAGCAGCTAAACTTTAGCTGTGGACACGATTCGCTTGCATAAGTGTTTTTGTATGTTATGTCATTATTATAAGAACGGATTGGAGCACTATATTATTGTTTTATGTAAAGGTGCTTAGTCAATGGTAGCGCTCGCTAACTAACTTGCTCAAGGACTCCTCTCTGTGCCAATCACAACAGACTTGGCCAGCTGACCAATCAGAGCAGAGTAGGCTTATGGAAGGGAAAGGTTTGCTCCGAACTTGCTTGGAACGAATCGTTTCGAAATCATTGGCAAATGACTCTAATATTAAATGTATATTCTTAGAAAATTACAATGTTTTCTGGCCTTAGATGCATTTAAACCTGTTGTAAAGGACTCCAACACAATATTAGGACACTTTAAAATACCATATGACCTGCTCTTTAATGAAAAGATGAATGGAAAACCATACTTCCGGAACCAAAGTTGCTGAAACATTTGGAGGTACTAATGCATTCATTTCTTGCTTAGAAAAAATACAATACAAAGCAAATGTAAAGTCTATTGTATCACTGGTTGAATGTTACAGACTTTGTTATAGCTTTGTGATTTGCTTATACATACTTATGTCAACTTTTAGGAGTATACCAGCCTATATTTACATTAAAACCAACAGATGTGAACACAAATCCACAAAAGTCCAATTATGATTTAATTTGGGTCCGTAATGGCATCCATATGAACATCATCAATGGTCTCTTTAACGTCCCTGCCTGTTAAAATACAGTTTTGCGGCTCTCAATCTATAAATTTCCTTTCAAATTTAAGTTTTGCATTGATTTTGGTGTTGCTACCAGTCGTATAAGTTTAACATTCATGTCTGTTCAGACTTCCTCACACGCCGTACGGTCAAAAACAGGAAAGCCCCGTTATTAAAAGCCGCCAGGCTGTTTTCTGCTGAACATGACCCACAACGTCCTGCGCTGTAGTCTGTTCAAGTAGTCAGGGCTGGCCCGCGTGAGCTCTCTTTCTCTTGTTAAAGGTCAAGCAGTCCTTTTCTAAACAGTAATTGTGTATGATAGGTTAAGCATGTAATATGCAGCGGCGCTGAAAGCGGCTTCTCACCCGTTCACGTACAGACCTGTTCCACTTCATAATGGCGATGTTGTAAAAGCACAGACGCCTGCTGGGTCGAGCTGTTAGCTGTGAGAGCGGCAGGCTGAATGGTGAATGGCTGTTTCAGTGTGTTTTAAGCACCGTTCAGACTGTCCAGCATCGAGTTCTGCTCTAATGAGTTCACTGTCAAAGACCGATCCCGGGCCAGAGCCGTTTCACTCTCATTCTCTCGTATTTATGAAGCTCTCAGGCCCGACTGTCAAAAGTTCCACCATGACGTTTGATTATTTGGCAACAAATGAGATATTTGAGCCAAACGGATATTGGGGAAGTTCCATTGAACTCTGTTCTGTTAAGAGTGCTGTTTTTATATGGTCACCTCATTGAAAGCACTACATAAATATGATATATAAAACTGAAACAGACCTTTCTTCTCATTATTTATGTTTTGATGGAGAAATGTATGATTTCCTGGCCTGGTGGTTGTATTATGTATATATAAGTGATTTATTGTCAGTGCAAAAATGTGTGAAGTGGTTTTATGGGGAGTTCACAGTTGAAGGTTTACTTTTTGCATATTATTGTGTTTTACAATTATTGAGTCTCCAAAACTTTGCATGGTATTTCAAGCTTCTGAAAACAATGCAATGTAATGAAAATGGAACGTCTATACTTGAATAAATGGTTGTTTTGTCTGTACTTGAACTTGTACTAATGTCACTTTTAGGAGTATACCAGCTTATATTTACATTAAAGTATGTAAAAAAATTATGTATTGTAAGTACATTTAATTTAAACATTTTCTTCTTATTCAGCAAGCATGTGCTGGAGGTTGGATTATACAGTCAAAAATGTAATTT